TGACCGGCTCTATAAGAAGCCCATCTCTAATATAAACCCACTCAAGGAGACCCATCGAAAAATACAATCCCAGTCTCTAATAGAAGACCACTCTAACAATATCTCATCAAATTCTATTAATCTCTATTTCATTCTTAATCTCACAATATTTCCTTCATACGATTAATAATTTGTATATCTTCCTATAATCTGTAATCCTCTTTAATCATCATCGATATCCATTAAGCTCACCTCTATCAAAATTATTTGAATTCAATTAACCGAGGGATATCCGTTGATTGGGTGATATAGAACGATATCCGGGATTTGGAGGGATATCCTTGATTTTGAGGAGATTTGTAGTAATATGAAGGTAATTTGGAGAAATATCAGGTAATACATATATTCTAGAGATCTGTCTGGATCCTTTCCAGTCTATATTTTTCCTAAATCCAGAGTCCAGATCCATGCATTTTTTATCTGGAATTTTCCTGTACCAGATCCAGAATCCAGTCCAGTTAATAACCTAAATCCAGAGTTCAGATCCGGATAATTATTAGGTTTTAATTTAATTAATTCAGAAGTAACCCCATCATTCTCAACTCAAGATACAAATAATGAAGATTTACAAATTACAGAAAATCCACTTATCGAAAATGAAATTTTACCTGAAGTAGCATTAACCGATACCACCGGTTTCCAGTTTTGAGTTTTGGACCTATACCGTTTTTATTTTGGGGGGATTTTTAATAAAATCACTCATTCTCAGAAGTCAAAATTTTCTGTTTTAAAACCGGTCGTGATATCTGGATTAGAAGAGGATTTTGAGTGATATCGGAGGATTTAAGGAGATTGGAGGATAAACTGGAGGATTGAGAGGCCAAAAAATTCACTTTTCAGCGCCGCAAGCGAAAATTTTGAGAATTTTGAAAGACCAATTCACCAGATTCCTTCCTTTTCAGCGCCGCAAGCGAAAATTTTGAGAATTTTGAAAGACCAATTCACCAGATTCCTTCCTTTTCAGCGCCGCAGGCGAACACACATTTTGTAACTCAAGCAGCCAGCGCGTTGCAGGTAATTTACAACAATATTAAAAATCCCGTAAACTTCGTCGAGTAAATTTTGTCAAATATATACCCCCAAGAACTATGTAGTTCCAGAACTAGAATCAAAGCTAGTTCCATATCTTTAGTAGTTCCGTAGTTCTAGTTCTGGAACTAGAACTAATTAGTTCCGGAACTGGAACTGTACCTTTGACATCACTGAATGGAATGTGTTTATATTCACAGTGGATTTACATATAATAAAAGTCAATATTATTTAAAAATTAATTGTTTTAATAAATAGTTTAGCCATTTAATTAAAAATTTCAATTAAAATATTTTTTCAAGAAATTAAAAAAATATCACAGTTTAATTAATTAAATTTAATAAAAATTTAATTAATTAAAATCAATAAAATCGTGAATAAAATTAATGGTTTAAATAAAAAGAATTTTGTTTGAAAATTTTTAAATTTTAAAAAATTACAAAATAAAATTAGAAATTTAAAATATTTTTTTAAATTTTTATTTAAAAATAAATGAAAATAAAGTTAATGATATAAAATTGTTAAAATTTAAACAGTTTTTTTCAAATCCTTGTTTATAAAATAAAAGCCCTCCCCCTACAAAAGGAAATGATTTTCGCCAAAAATAAAAAAAAATTGTGGGTGATAAAATAATTTTTAAATATTTAATTTATAAACTAAAAATTTATCCCTTTTTCTCAGTTTTTTTCTTCAAAATCTTCACTTTTTTCTCTCCACAAATTTCCTATAAAAATATAAAAAAATTGGTTATATAACAAAAAATCAGATGTTAAATGTGAGACTATTTGTATGATTAACTTGATTTTTTGAACGAGTCTTTAAAAGTTCCGTTGACTTTTTAATATGGGATTTTCAAAAATATTATTAAATACTGGGGGGGGGAGGGCCACGGGGAAAATTTTCGGGGAGGCAGCGCCACGGGGGGGGGGACGGGGACGGGGGAAAAATTTTCACGGGGTAATTTCGGGGAATCAAAAATTTTTTGGCGCCTTCGGCTTCCAAACTCGCAATTGTCGACTTATAACACTCCTAATTTATTGAAGCTGTCGCTGTCCAAGACTCTTGGTCTTCGGTCTTGACTCAAGACTTTTCTTGGGGTTTTTTCGGTCATGGTCTTGGAGTGTAGTCTTGGACTCGAGTCTTGGAATACTTTCGGTCTTGGACAGCTCTATAATTTATAATATTAAACATAGATAAATACATATTTTTAATGGTAACGAGGATCTTTTTGTTTTCCTTTGCCTTTTGATTGTGTCGAAGATTGTCCTTTTGACTGGATTGTAGAATATTCTTGATTTTGAAAAGGATCTTAATTAAATTTACAATTTATTTAAAAAGCTTTGAATTATTTTACTTTGATAGTAATTATGTGGAATATTCTGTCTAGATTCCAACATTGCTTGTTTCAATTGTCTTTGATATTCTTTAAAAATTAATTATTTAAAATTTTAAAGGGGTTTATTTACCTCTTTCAGATGTATTATAAGAATGTGGAGGATTACCAGAAGGATAGGTAATAGAAAATCCTTCAGAAGGGTAGTAACCATATTCTTGTTCTTAAACTCTAGTTAAATGATAGAAAACATGTTACCGTTATAAAGAAAAGTCTGAGGTGATGATTGTAATTCAGGTTGTTTTTGTTTTATATTTTTGGGGTTAGCTTAATTAAAATAATATAATATTTTTAAATGAATATTTTAATTTTATCCTATAATTTTAATATTTTTTAGAAATAACTAGATAAAACAATTCCCTTAGTGGGGAATTATGTTTATACAGCCCCCCAAGTTCGATTCATAGAGTAATATATAATAAAAAAACAAATTACCGTTATAATGAAAAGTTTGAGGTGATGATTGTAATTCAAGGTGTTTTTGTTTTATATTTTTGTGGTTAGCTTAATTAAAATACTAATTTAAAATTTTAAATTAATATCTTAATTTTATCAATAGGGAACTATAATTTTAATATTTTTTAGAAATAAATATAGGTAGTTAGAATATTATTTCATAAACATATTTTAATAATCAAATTTAATTTTACTAAAATTTATGTTAATATTTAAAATAATTCCTTCGCTAACTTAATTTTAACTGCTCAGTTATTTAGTACTCACTAATTAAATTCGAATCTGATTGTATTTCTAATTATTTTAATTTAAAGATTATTTAATAAACCGGATGTATACTAATAGCTATGTATTTATCTCTTCAGCTAGTATAAAAGGTTAATCGGCGGCTGGGTGCGAACCAGCGTCTTCAGTAGACTGAACTAGAGATCGGTCTGGATACAAAGTAAAGATCCAGACATTTTTTGATCGTCCACAATTTTAGAAATTTGATAGCTATAGGCTATACAGTCGTAATAGTACGAGTTTTAGGTATGTAAAATTTTTATAGAATTGCTAATTAAGAATTAATTTCTTAGCGATTAAAAAGTATTAAGTTAATTGACTACCCTCTTCAAAATTTTTTTGATGTTGTTTACTTGCAATGTGTATTAATAGATGAGATTCGCGGTTTAGAGAAAGCTAAAAAGTTTTAAAAAACTAATAATACATTTAATATTAAAAACTCCCGAATTGCATAATGTACATTTCGCTCCCTTGCCCTCAAATTTGAAATATTGCTTATTTTTGTTAAGTAAATTTTCCTTTGATTTTAGTATTTCTTCATAGTCTAATTATTTTAATTTAATTATTAAAACAAAAAATATAAATAAAAACGTTACTTGTAATATATTGTAGATGTTTGGGCGTAGCTAGATGTTGAGTAATATCTTTTTCAACTGTTGGCTTTAACTTAAATTATGTATACCGTATTTACTCTAGTAATCCCCCAGTCTTTATTAATTCCCCAGTCTCTATTAATTCCCCACCCTGGGGATGGGTTGAAAAATAATCCCCCTGGGGAATTACCAGAGTAAATACGGTAAATATTGTTTTGTTACTATATCCGAATTTGGAGAAAGAACAAAAATGAATAAAAATAACTAGGGTTATTGGCGATCGGTTATTAACCGGTACCCACGGTTTTCGGTTTTGAGTTTTAGGCAAATATCGGTTTTATTTTGGGGGAATTTTTAATAAAATCACTCATTATCGCAACTTTTTAAAAACAGTTAATTTTTTGCAAAAAATTTCAAAAATTCCGGTTTTAAAACCAATCCCCAACAACTCTAAAAAATAACCCATCATTGGGGGTTATTTCGTACCCAATGCGTAATCCTGTATCCAATGAGTAAACTAATATGTTTTATTAAATTATTAAAAAATTTACTGGAGTTTTACAAACATTACAAATAACTTTATTTGTATTTTCTTGTATTGTAAAATTATTTGTTTGGCCAACTTTTTTTAACATATTTTCCAAAACTTTTTTGTTTTCTGAATATATTTATATTTTTTTCTAAATATATTTATTACCTTCACTTTCATACCCTCCGTGGAATTTCATATAATGATTTTTAATTATTCTATATGCCATATAATTCAAACCAGTATAATCTTTCACAACAACAATTCTATCACATTCTTTACATTTAACATAGCAACGATCATCTCTATCATTAACTACTTTAAATATTTCCGAATTTGTATTAAATTCTTTAATATAGTTGTTAAATACTTCAAATCGACCTAAAATAATTACATTTTTAATGTTTTGATTTATATTTTTAAAGAAATTTGGAGGTAATTCTCTTTCTTATAAAGAAGTAAGCAGTGTGCTTGGATGTTTTTCGAAAAAATCTCGACTTTCGAAAAAGCTCTTTGTACATAATAATAAATATTCCCATAAAATTAAGTTTATAAGAAAATTTCGAATTTAAGTCAATTTTCTCGAGAGCTTTAAGCAAATTCCATCCTAGAAAGGTTAGCGGACAAGTTTTAAGTTTTTTTGCTAAATTAGCATATGTAGGAGATATAAAAATAATTATAACAAGAAGTAAATACATTCATTTTTTGTTGGTTGCGAAGAAGGATTTTCAGGCTTATCTTCTGTTATCGTCACTGACTCTTGATTGTAGTTTTGTGGAGACAATGTTGTTGGGAATTGATGCATTGTTGAAAATTGGCCCAAATCATATCCAAGAGTGTCGAAATCATCAAGAGGTATAACAGATGGATACATTGAGTGGTAATAAAAGGGATTATCCCCAACAAGTGATTGTTGGTCTTGGAATTCATTTGAAATTGGTTGTGGATGTGAAGATTCATGAACAGAAGTAGGTTCAAAAGAAGAAACTCCTGTAATGTTTGGGTGATTTGTTCCATCTCCAATACCACTCGTTGAATCAGCATGTCCTCCATATTGACTATATAATTGATGTTGTTCTTCAGATCCTTGATTTATATTTCCTCCCCTTTTTGATAAACTACTACTCCCCTTTCCTCTTTTATTTGAACTTCCTTCTCCAATATTTTTTGTATTAAAATAAATTAAAACAAAACGTAGAAAAATAATTTTAATTTTCATTTTTCTAATCTATAAATAATATTTAAATGTTTTTTTGATTTATCTATTAATGGAAGATGAGTTTGTGATAAATATTTAATTTTTGGCAAATATTAATTTGAAGGGTTGTAAAAAATTCCGATTTAACTAGAACTCTAACATCTTCTAATTAGATTCAAATTTAATTTACTCGTAGAAAAAGGTTAAAATGAAGAAGAGAATGGAGGAAAATTTTTAGAAAAATTCAAAATAAAATAAGTGAAGATTTTTAAAAAAACGAGTATTTATTTGGATGATAAATACTCGATTGAAAAGGCGGACCAATAACTTTAATATTTTGAAATGGATGGGATGCGTGCGTTGAGAGAATCTGTGAATTAAAAAATCTATTTTTCTAGTGCAAAATAAAGTTCAAAATTAGGTCTCGTAAATTAATCGAGGTTTTTAAATTTAAAATTTAGATTAGAAATTCAGATTCAAAATATGTATGTAATTTTGAAGGATGTTTAAAATTACATTTTCTTAAAAACTCGAGAATAGACATTTAAAATAGACACAAAATTTTTTAATTACTAGGTCCTAATATTCTCGATTTCATATGATATCCATCATATCCCTCCAAATCACCTGACTATCACTAAACCTTATAACACAAAATAAATACGATAATCATTGACATTTAGTGACTCTTGAAGGGAAAATGGCCAATATTTCATAAAAATACTTTTTTCCCATTTTTGCGTCTCTTCTGTTTTGCGTTGTTTTTTTGGCCTTGCGTTGCGTTTTTGCAATTATCTCCTGCGCTCGTTCCTTTTCCAAATCTTGTTTAAAAATTTTAAGTCTGTAAATAGATAGATAATTTGGGTTTTTCTTTATTAAAAAATTATCTATACGTGTTTTAATATGGATAGAGAATATAGTCAAAATGAGATAAAAAAATGAGAATAAATTGATTTATTAGTTTAATTATCAATGACCAAAATTGCAAAAAAAATTTAAATTAATTTAAATATTTCTTTAAACAATATTTTAAAAATTAAATACGGTAAATGCTCTAACATATTAAAAGGTCATCTCTAATATAAGCCCACTCGAGGAGATCGAAAAATATAAGCCTAGTCTCTAATAGAAGACAACTCTAACGTTTCTCATCAAATTCTCTTAACCTCTATTTCATTCTTAATCTCCCAATATTTCCTTCATACGATCTAATCATTTGTATATATCTTCCTATAATCTGCAATCCCCCTTAATCATCCTCGATATCCCATTAATCTCACCTCTATCTAAATTATTTTACTTCAATTAACTTCGAGGGATATTTGTTGATGGATATAGAACGATATCCGGGTTTGGAGGGATATCTTTGATTTTGAGGAGATTTGTAAGAAAATAAAGGTAATTTAGAGAAATATCTGGTATTATATTCTAGAGATCTGGCTGGATCCTGATCCAGTTTTTTCAGTTTTGAGTTTTGGACCTATACCGGTTTTATTTTATGGGGATTTTTGAAGTTTTCGGTTTTTTAAATTTTGTAAAAACGGTTAATTTTTGGCATAAAAATATCAAAATTTTCTGTTTTAAAACCGGTCGTGATATCTGGATTAAAAGGATTTTGGGTGATATCGGAGGATTTAAGAAGATTGGAGGATAAACTGGAGGATTAAGAGGCCAAAAAATTCACTTTTTCGGCGCCGCAAGCGAAAATTTTGAGAATTGTGAAAGACCAATTCACCAGATTTCTTCCTTTTAAGCGCCGCAGGCGAACATTTTTAGAATTTTGGAGCTCAAGCAGCCAGCGCGTTGCAGCTAACTTACAACAATATTAAAAATCCCGTAAACTTCGTCGAGTAAATTTTGTCAAATATGTATATACTCCCAAGAACTAGTTCCAGAACTAGAATCAAAGCTAGTTCCATATTTTTAGTAGTTCCGTAGTTCTAGTTCTGGAACTGTAACTTTGACATCACTCAATGGAATGTGTTTATATTCACAGTGGATTTACATATAATGAAAGTCAATATTATTTAAAAATTAATTGTTTTAATAAACAGTTTAGCCAGTTAATTAAAAATTTCAATTAAAATATTTTATATTTTTTCAAGAAATTAAAAAAATATCACAATTTTTTAAATTAAATTTAATAAAAATTTAATTATTTAATTAAAATAAATAAAATCGTGAGTAAAATTAATGGTTTAAATAAAAGAATTTTGTTTGAAAATCTTTAAATTTAAAAAAATTACAAAATAAAATTAGAAATTTAAAATATTTTTTTTTATTTTTTATTTAAAAATAAATGTAAATGATTAAAGTTAATGATATAAAATTTTTAAAAAAGTTTATAGAAAGTTTTTTTCAAATCTTTAGTTATAAAATAAAAGCCCTCCCCCTACAAAAAGAAATGATTTTCGCCAAAAATAAAAAAATTGTGGGTGATAAAATAATTTTTAAATATTTAAATTATAAACTAAAAATTTATGCCCTTTTTCCAGTTTTTTTCTTCAAAATCTTCATTTTTTTCTTTTCCTTTGCCTTTTGATTGTGTCGAAGATTGTCCTTTTGACTGGATTGTAGAATATTCTTGATTTTGAGAAGGATCTTAATTAAATTTACAATTTATTTAAAAAGCTTTAAATTATTTTACCTTGATAGTAATTATGTGGAATATTTTGAGTAGTCAATTGTCTTTGATATTCTTAAAAATTAATTATTTAAAATTTTAAAGGGATTTCATTACCTTCTTCAGTTGTCATATAGAGATGTGGAGGATAACCAGAAGGATAATATGTACTAGAAAATCCCTGAGGTTGTTGTTCTTGTTTTTGTATATTTTTGTGGTTAGCTTAATTAAAATAATTTAAATTTTTAAATTATATTTCAATTTTATCAGTAGGAAACGATAATTTTAATATTTCTTAGAAATAAATATAAGTAGATATTGGGCTATATCTATTTCTCTCCTTCAACTAGTGCAAAAGGTTAATTGGTGACTTGGTGCGAACCAGCGTATTCAGTAAACCGGACTAGTGATCGGTCTGGATCTGGATACAAAGTACAGATCCAGGCATTTTTTGATCGTCCACAACCTAAAAATTTAAATAGCTACCTATACCTTTTACAGTCGTAATAGTACAAATTCTAGCTATGTAAAATTTTTATAAAATTGCTAATTAAGAATTAATTCCTTAGTTAGCGATTAAAAAATATTAAGTTAATTGACTACCCTCTTCAAAATTTTTTTGATGTTGTTTACTTGCAATGTGTAGTAATAGTTTAGATTTGCGGTTTTGAGCAAGCTAAAATTTTTAAAAACTAATAATAAATTCAATATTAAAAACCGTCAAATTGCATAATGTACATTTCGCTTTCTTACCCTCAAATTTGAAATATTGCTTATTTTCGTTAAATAAATTTTCCTTTGATTTTAGTATTTCTTCATAGTCTAATTATTTTAATTTAATTATTACATAAAACAAAAAATATAAATAAAACATTACTTGTAATATTTTGTAGATGTTTGGGCGTAGCTAGATGTCGAGTAATAACACATTTAAATGTTGGCTTTAACTTAAATATATGTATAAATATTGTTCTGTTACTACATATATTCGCATTTGCAGAATGAACAAAAATGAATAGAAATAACTGGGGTTGTTGGCGACCGGTTATTAACAGGTATATTTATGCAAATACCGGTTTTATTTTGTGGGAATTTTTAATAAAATCACTCATTTTCACAAATTTCCGGTTTTTAAACTTTTCTAAAAACGGTTAAGTTTTGGCAAAAAATTTCAAGAATAGCCAACAATCCTAAAAATAACTTATCATCGGGTTGGATGGAGGCACAGGTGCTTCGGTCAGGGCTTATTTAATGATGGTTCTATTCCATCTCCCACCCAATGAGTTTTTCCACAGCATGAACATAATTTAATATGTATATTCTATTAAATTATTAAAAAATTTACTGGAGCTGAACAAACATTACAAATAAGTCTATTTGTATTTTCTTGTATTGTAAAATTATCTTTTTGGTCAAGTTGTTCTAACCAAAGTTCCAAAACTTTTCTGTTTTCTAAATATAGTATGTCTATCGAATCTTAATTATGCATGAAAATTACCTTCACTTTCATACCCTCCATGATATTTTTTATAATGATTTTTAATTATTCTATATGCCTGATAATCCACACCATCATAATTTTTCTTAACAACAATTTTATCACATTCTTTACATTTAACATAGCAACAATCATCTCCATCATCAATTACTTTAAATATTTCTGAATTTATATTAAATTCAGAAATATATTTGTTGTATAATCCATATTGACCTAAAATAATTACATTTTTAAAGTTTTAGATTAATATTTTTAAAGAAATTAAGTTTTTAAAAAATTTAGTATTTACAACAATTCTCTCTAGAGCCCCCCCCCCCCCCAACCTTTAAAGGTTCCACAAAATTATAGCGCACTTTAGTTTTTCGAGTTTCTATTATTAGGAAAAATCTACAAAAATTAGAGCAAACATATTCATCGATATTAAGAAAAAATTGGCCCATATTTTTATTCAAAGTTTAGATCCCGACACCTCTAAAATCAATGTAAGATAGGGATAAGCCTATTTCAAAAATATTTTCTCCCTCGTATGGATCGTTCTGAATGCTATAAGCAAAAATCTTATATTTCAGAAGATTGGAAACTCCATAATTAAAAGGAATTTAGCAGACGAATTTTATATTTTAAGTCTTTTGCTAAATTAACATGGATATACAACTAATTATAACAAGAAGTAAATACGTTACTTTTTGTCGGCTTCGAAGAAGGATTTTCCGGCTTATCTTCATCTCTCGTCACTGACTCTTGATTGTAACTTTGTGGAGACAAAGGTGTTTGGAATGGATGCATTGTTGAAAATTGGCCCAAATCATATCCAAGAGTGTCGAAATCATCAAGAGGTATAACAGATGGATACATTGAGTGGTAATAAAAGGGATTATCCCCAACAAGTGATTGTTGGTC